AGACACAACTTTTGTTCCCTACTAGTTGCCGAACCCCGGAAAGTTCTTCTTGGAGATGCGATCCAAGCTACTTCGTCTAAACCCTCTAAACGCCGACTGGATACTCACTTGACATGCTTCTTGGATCTGCCCCGGACTGATTGAATTTTCACATTTTAACTGCCACTTTTCCTCTTTCTTTGCTTGTACACAGGTTAACAACCATAAGAAGTAGTGGCCCATGGATTGTAGATGCAGTAGCCAGTCAAGTGGAAGCTTCTATTCCACCAACAACCATTTGAACCGTTTGAACCATGTGATCCATTTGAACTGAATTAAGTTGGAGGAAATTGTTTGACCCGGTCCGTGACTGTTTTACTGCTATTATCAACGAATTTCATACCATCGGGAAGTATCTCAGACCGTTTCAAAAGGATTAAAGAAAATTAGTGATGAAAGAATAGCGAGAAAAAACAATGATCCTAGTGTTTAGCAAAAGTGAATGAATTGAAAATATGGTAGTGCATGAACACAGGGGGGAAGTCTGATCAGTTACTGCAAGATAACAAGAGGCTGAGTCATTGGATGAGTGGCAGCAACAGTAGAAATAATTGTTACCAAGGGAATGGAATGAAGTGATGTCACTGCTTTCGGCATCTCCGCGTTATTTCTGGACCGTTAATGATAATAACAATATATTTCGAACAATAAATTATACGAACACGTGACGTCTGTGCAGGCAACATCTGAACGTTATTGTTGTTCGTGATGTTCTTCGGATGTCTTTAGTTCATCTTCGGTAGTTTTGAAAAACTCAGTGGGTTTTTTGATGCTGGAAATAAGTAGCTTATATAAGAAGAACGGGGTTGCTGAGGCCATTAGATGTCACGTCAGGATAAAGTTATTCGAATGGGTCAAAAGTGAACTGGTAACGTTTGTAAGAAACGCAAGATGACAGAATCGCGAAATGTGATAAGTGTAACGGTTAGATGGCCGGGTATGTGTGAAATGCGCATAATGAAAAAGAATGGGAAGTGTCTGATGACGGCTTAAATCTTGCTTGTTAACGTCATGCAAGATACAAATAAATGAAGCGACAAAAGGGGTGGATGAATAAGCTGGAACTGACGGCGACTGTTATCCGCCCCATCTGCTTTTCCAAGGTCTGTCCCTTTTCTCTGTCAGATGCACGGTCCTATGAGTCATCGCCAAACTACCTGGCATCCTTCATGAGGATAGGAAGAGATAGAACAAAGACTCCACCGAGTGCTATTTATCTTTGTCTGGGAAAGCTGTTCTCGAAACAGAAAGATGTGCTGGCGCTAGACCGCTTATCCTTCTGCGAGCTGTTTTTCATGGGTTATATCATCTATTGTTGCCCGCTTTATTATTATCAAGCAAAATGTTCGGATTGGTTTACTCGGGTTGCTGAGAAATTGAAGTCGTTATCCTATCAGCACTTAGCCATTGATAACAGTGTGACCAATAATCCTTATTTGGCTCCAACTAACTAGTTCCCAAATCTTACTACGCACTCCCTTGAACTTTGCTTCATTGACCTATGCAACTTTGCAGAAAGGAAGACGCAATGATTTTGCCACTCCAGGTTTGATCTCCTTCATTTTGTGGCGTCCTGAGAAAAATGTTTGAATCATTCCTTTCTCTGCGAAACTGAAGTGCAGTGTAGTCCTTCACATCATCGACTGGGGTTTTTTATTCAAGTCCTTGTCTTATTTCAAGAATGGTGGTCATATTCAGTTGGGGCACTGGACAAGCCCCCTTATTAAGTGTCAGCCCGCCGCCTTTAGCAGATTCCTTCTCGAAAAACTTTGAGTCATTTTAGGGTCAAAACCTCATTCTACATTATATACTCACTATTAATGACAGATATGCTGTTTATACATGATAATAAATAAATATTTTGTTCTTGCATTGGTAATTTAGCATGACAGAAGCCAGTTTACGGGCACCATCACGTTGACACATGTCGGAAAATCTACAAGATTTTACGGGACCTGAGTGGCGCGGAAGGGAGGTCAATAAATTAGATCGAAAACATCAGGAGATTACAGGAGTCATAAAACGAACAAGGAAATGCCACCTTTCAGCATATACGGAGTATAAAGTTTGGATCGTTTTCAGTCATACTTCCTTTATTCCCCGTTGGTGGCACCAAAGTCGCGAGAAATTCCAAGTTTCCGTTACAAGCAATCGACATGTTTGACTCGTCTTCGTGGTGCCCCGTTACGCTGTACAAACGCCTATTTTGCCATAAATTCTTATGCTTAAAGCTTTGGGTACCAGAAGAACCCACATTGACGGCGTCGAGAATCTGTAAGTTTCCACATAATCACGTAATCCAAGTGAATGTCCATTCAAGTATTATCATTCACAGCAATATAGATCTACGCCATCAAAATTATATATTGTGGTGCAAAGGAACAAACATTTGAAAAAAACTGCGAACCGATTGCAATGAGTTTTCCATACTGTTCATGTTAGGGTGTGCAGCATTGTCAATGAGGTATATTCACTGTTACATGAAGTACTAGACAAGTCTGTTGCGTAGCATTATTGTGGATGTGTTCACTTCAAAGGTAACAGGTGAGTTGATCTCCTGGATTTCACTGTCTGTCCAGGTTTTCGACGCCACTATGACCACCCAGGAATTTGAGTAATTCTAGGATTGATAAATGTTCATTCAGTGGTAGGGTCAATTGAGTGAACGGGATTGGTAATCCCTACTTATTGGACAGTAATTTTCGTGGGAGCATAGTTTCATTGCTTCGAAAAGAAGCGGAATGTTAAGAATTGGTAACGTATATTCCTCATTTGTGTCCTGTTGTTATCATTGAAGGTTATCTTGATGATGGGGTATTCGAGGATCCGAGTTAGACCCTTTGATCATTTAGTGTTCAGATTTTTAGATATTTCAGTAAGTTTTCATTATGGTCCAGCTTCTTCATAGTCTAATGATATCTTCATATTGCAACTGTCTGAAATTTTGGCGGAAAATCATCAAAAGCCTCTGCGCCTTTGAGGTTGGAAAGTGTCTATATATTGGGAGCTCCCAATGTCTATAGTTCTAGTAGCAGCATTAGTGATGCCTATTATGGTGCTGTCGTGTATTTGGAGTTAAGCTATCTTATAAATCCAGCCATTGTTTGATTCCCGTGCTTCCCTAGGCAAGCTGTTCCATATCTGAGCATATTTGCCGAGTTTATAGACGCCCAACGGTTTGTCAATCTTGTTAAGTGAGCATTCCACTTGTGCAGACAGAACCCTAGACGACCTGTTTAAGGTCTCAGGGTTCGACGAAAGGTAAACCCTTTCCAGGTACTGGCGATGGACGGTTGATAATATATTCATCATTCTACTTTACTTGTTGGATAGAAGCGTAGAGGCGATCTGTTCCGTGTGGAGATAAAATTATTTGTATAAGACGAGAAAACAAAGTTTTCGGTAGCACAGGATGACGGAGAAGAAAGAATTTAGGTGAATTCAAACTTTCTGAATCAATTCTGGTTCAAGAACCGGAGATTATTTTGCGCGAGTCATTCATGCCCCTATCACTTGAATAAGTTCCTCATATTAGGCAGCATCCTAGTCGAAGACAAATTCAGAATTGAGGGGTTTAGAGAAAACTTACGGATAGAATTTCAGTGTCAAGAGCGAAAATTTCTTACCACTCACTATCGCTCTCCGAACCAAACTACGTTGGTTCTAATATCTCAGGCCAAGTCTAACACTTCCATTTCAGGCCCTGGAGAAAAAATTTACTTCACAAATAGAAACCAGTTTTCTGTTCCCCCAACAAGTCACAGTCTATGCGGCAATTAGCATTGTCATGGACTTGTTCCTGGCCGCGCCAGTCGTTTTCCTAGTTTCTTTGCCATCAAAAACAAGCAACCATGGTATGTTACTACTACTGGAATTGAGATTCAGAACTACATAACCACAACCTGAAATAGAATTATTAGATTGATTTTCCTCCAAAAATGGTTCAGAAGTATTTAGCCTGAAATTCAAAACACGTGACACCCGTCTGTCACGATTAAACAACCAACCCGAATCTTCAGAATTTGTTTTGCTCGTAGAGGAAGCCACTTACCATATGTGCACCAACAGCGTTATTTTGTGTAAAAGACGTCTGAAGTGCAGTTCAGCCCCTGCGCGCCCTCTTCCCAGTCGTTACATTCCAATGAGCTTCCCTGAAAGTGAAATCAGACTTACCTCGATATGTTTATGCCAGGCTTTGGCATCATGCGTACTTGATCCCATGGCTTAAGAAAACCCCACAAAGCTGAATAGCTCATCCAATCTTCTGCACATATTGTATCCTATACAGCCCAATCAATCCCTAAGAGGTCTATTTAATTCAGCGCGTATCCTTTAGCATTGTACCCACCATTATGGGCTTCACCAGCACTCCTCTAAAATTCGCGCAAATATGTAAAATATGCTCCCTAGTCTACCATGGCAGAAATGTAGCTTCGTTTTCTAGAAGAGCATAATCCATCGACGTCATCAAACATCCCAAAAAACACATTCTTATCATTGATACCACGAACCGATAACCCTCCGTGAGATACGTGCAATTATTATTATTATATGTACCTTGGGAACCTAATGGAATATAGGGCTTCAGTAGCACGTCTCCATTCCACTCTGAAATTTTTTGAATCTGGCTCCACGACAGCCCACAAGCTCTCATTTATTCCTCACAAGATCTCCATGTCACCCTCGGACGCCCAACTGGTAGTTTCCCATCGGGGTTCCACTCAAGCAACTGGCCTGGCGCGTGATGTCCCCAGTCGGCCTTCTCAGTGTATGCACAATCCATCTCCACTTCCTGCCAACGATGTTTCCTCGACCCTTTGATCGCTGCAATTTTAAATGGTTGAAAATCCAGAATCCGAAAGAGACTTTAAAAGCGCAATAGAAAGTTTCATTTTTAAGAGACTGCTGCTGTTTCCTGCAACATGTAGATTGGAGTTTGTTCTAGTTCATCACTAACTTGTGGTAGCTTGACTGGCGATTTTTCAAACATACGTAACTCGAGTGGGTTTGTATGTTGTGCTTTTCATGGTGAGCGATGAGAGTTAACGGCTTTAGGCGAAATTATAAAATATTTATATCTGCACAAACATGTTTGAACCTTGGGACTATTCAAAGTTTTCAGTACGTGAAGGCGGATTTCATAACGTGTCTGTTAAATATGTACGAGTGCTGTGTCTCATTTTTTGTTCATTTTGAGTTGACTGCTTCTTTCACCCGTCCGGTAGAACGCAGACATACATATGATTGTAGTGCAAGCGCGTACTCGAGGAAGAGTGTCTGTCCTTCACTACGTTTCCTGCTCGAGAACTTAATGCTATGCTTACACCAGCATGTCTACAAGAGGTAGGCATTGAATCTCTGGACACTCATGGAATGAATTCTGTGGATTCACCACATTGGCCAGCTGAGATCTAGTGAATAACTACACGGGTGCTGTATACTTGTGTTGGAAACACAGCATATTTCCATGGTCATCGATTCTAGAGTTTTGTCAAAAGATATCTGTTTTCCGATACGGCCTAGAGTTTGGACGCTGAGACCTGTAATGTGAAGTTGGCAACTTAGTTTTAGAGAACTAAGAATGGTATTTTGCTGATTTCAATCGTTAAAAGTGACCACAATGAGGAGTACAAGAAATTGTAGGATACCTAATATTGTGATAAGTAAATGAAGGTATAGGAAAGACAACAGTAAGGAGGGTGGGTTATCGTAAGCTGGATTTTGTATGCTGCCATCAGTAGTTGGTACGTCCCAGATACCCGGAATAGGAAGCGAAGTCGCAAGATGAGACAGAGTTAAGAAGGATAGGTATATTTGATTAGGTCTTGTGCGCTACTGGAAGCCTGTGAACATTTGACAATTACCGGCTTCTCACACCACAGAAGACTATTTCTCCTTAAGGTATCGAGAAGAGAGGAGGATTCGTGTGACCGCAGAACCCATGAGACATCTGTTTGAGGCCTGTCACGCAAAGCATTTTGTGGGTTGTTGTTCCGAGGTTTGGTTGTTGTGACACCGAATCTAGAGAACCTATAGAGCATGCACCGGAAGACCATGGGGTTTAGTGATGTGTGTTATTTTTGGGGCCGACATTTTTAATCGCCCTTCTTATACGGAAGGGAGCATCAGTGTGGCACTCCAGATCATCCAAGGTAGACAAATGTCTTGCTAGTGTCACGCTCATGAAGTCAGCAGTTCAGCTTCGCCCTCAAACCATCATCACAGTGTAGGATCATTATGTTTATTTATTTGTCCCTTGAGTTCCTAATGGAACATAGGGCTTCAGTAGCACGTCTCCATTCCACTCTGAAATTTTTTGAATCTGGCTCCACGACAGCCCACAAGCTCTCATTTATTCCTCACAAGATCTCCATGTCACCCTCGGACGCCCAACTGGTAGTTTCCCATCGGGGTTCCACTCAAGCAACTGGCCTGGCGCGTGATGTCCCCAGTCGGCCTCCTCAGTGTATGCCCAATCCATCTCTACTTCCCTCAACTGCATATTTGTTCAGCGATAGCTTCTTGGTTGGTTCGTTACCAGCCAGAGTTCCTTATTGCTTATTCTTTCCAGCCATGTGATCTTCAGTAATAAGCCAGCGTAGGCAGTTGTTGATGAATGCCTGTAGTTTGTTGGAAATGCCTTTCGTAACGCGCCAAGTCTCTGAGCCATACAGAAGCGCTGATTTGACGTTGGTATTGAAAATCCGGATCTTGTTGTCTATGCTAAGTGCAGAAGATCTCCACACTGGTTTCAGGCTAATGAAAGCCTGTCTTGCTTTTCCTATTCTGACTTTGACATCCTCGTCTGTGCCACCTGTAGTTGAAACAGTGCTTCCTAGATAGGCGAAGGAGGCTACTTCCTTTAAGTTTCTCCCGTTGATGGTGATTGGAGTTTGTTGTTGGTTGGGCATCTTCATCACCTCTGTCTTCTCTATATTCACTTGAAGTGCCGTCTTCGCTGCCCCACCTCTTCTACCAACTCGTTAGTTTCCGCCTGTAGACCTTCGAGTTTGTGTGACATTAGACATACGTCATCGGTGAAATCCAAGTCTTCTAGGTTCTTTTCCGTGGTCCAGCTAGCGTATCCGCCTCTTCTCGCCCCCCACTGTTTGTTGCATGATCCAGTTCAGTCCACTGCAATTAGGAATACCATGGGTGATAGTAGACAGCCTTGTTTTACTCCTTCCTCTCTTCACTTCAAAAGCACCACTGAGCTTGCCATTGTGAATTACTTGGCATGTGGCGTCTTCATATAGTTGTTGAATGAGGTTGATAAAGGTTTGTGGCAGTAAAACCGTAGTGTTGAAGCAGCTGCCAAATTACTTGCCGGTCGACGCTGTCGAAGGCCTTTTCAAAGTTGATGAAGTTGAGGTGTAGAGTTGACTGCCATTCTACACTCTGTTATATGATGACGCGTAGTGTAGCGTTGCAATTTGGTCCGCATATGATTTGTACTTCCTGAATCCAGCCAGCCTGTTCCGGTCGTGGTTTTGAATCCAGTGCATCATTTGGTCTCTCCAGGATGATGCGGCTCAATATTTTGCTTGCTTTGGGTGGACAGTAGCGTGATTCCGCGCCAGTTCTTGCGAAGGCTTAGGGCACCCACCATTGTTTGGGAGTTTGAGAAGGTAACCCTTCTTCCAATCTGCAGGTACCTTCCCTTTTTTCTACACCTTCTGCAATAGTGGTGTGGTGTGCGCATGTCCGCTGTTGTCTCTGCGTCTGTTCCCAGTGCTTGTGGCGGGATTCCATCTGGTCCTGCTGCTTTCCCACATTTCAGTAGCTTTATGGCGTTCAGGACTTCGACTTTGGTCGGAGGGCTTGTGTTCACTTGTAGTTCGGCGGCTGCAGGTGGTATTTGTGGACGAAATGCAGGTGGTGGTGGTGGTCGATTGAAGAGCTTCTTGAAGTGGTCGGCCATCGTTTCCCTTGTTTCTCTTCCTTCGTAATTAACTTTCCTTCATCATCTTTTATTGGTTTCATGTGTGTTGATCTCTTCCCTACCAGATAGTAACCTGGTTATTTGATACAATGTTGTCAGGTCTGTATCTCTCCTACCAGCAGCCTGTTCTGCTTCACTTGCCAATGTGTCATAGAAGTGTCTTTTGTCTTTGCATGCACTCTTCTTCACTTCTTTGTCCAGTGTAGTGTTCTATACATTGTACTCAGTTCCTCTTTTCGTCGTTCATCCTTGCACTGGTTTATCTTCTGCTTCACCGTCCTCCTCTCCCCACCCCATCAGCTTCCATGTGTCCATCGAGATCCATTCCTTCCTTGTCTTCTTTCTTCTTCCTTCCCAATACGCTTATGCAGGTTTCTTTCCACATCTATTTCAAATAGCTCCAGTATTCTTCCACACAGGTTTCTTCAGAGATGTTGCTCGATATCTCCCATTTTGTCTTGATGGCTGATGTGAAGATTTTCTTTGTAGTTTCGTGCTTCAGTTTCCGAGTGTTCAACTTGAACTGTGGTCTATCATCACCAACTTGCTTGAAGGCTTTCAACTTGATTTTGAAGACTGGTTCCTTGCGCTAGATAGTGCGTTGTCTGAACCTACGTCTGCTCCCCTTCTTTATCTTGTGTCAAGTAGGCTGACTGTGTCTCCACTTTCTTGAGATTGAGATCAAGTCGATCTGATTTTTAGTGTAGTGTGTCCATCTGGTGAATGGCGAAATCCATGTCGCTTGTGGATATCCTTGTGCTTGAACACACTGCCTGACTCCAATCATCAAATCGTTGAATGCACAGAATTCTGCAAACAATTCTCCATTCTCGTCCATCACCTCACCGAGCGCTTCTCGACCCATGGTTAGTTCTCTTCCTGTGTTGTCCGCTCCCAGTTTGGCATTCATGTCGCCCATTAGAGTGGATTTTGATGTTGCCAACTGAGGTCTTGTCCAGTGTTGATTGAAGTTATCTGTAGAATTCCTCCTTCTTTCCTTGATCTGCATTATTTGTAGGTGCATAGTGTAGCATTGTACGATTGTGACTTTCTGTCCTTTTGAGTTGAACCTTGCTGTTATGATCCTGCAGGAGGAGATTGGTTCCCACTGCATGAGGGCCTTCGATGCTGTTGGGGACATCATGATAGCCACTTGAAAACTCAATGTGTTCGTGGTTGTTGTCTGGGTGACAATATCACAGTAGATTATTGATTCTCCAGTTGACAGTTTGAAGAATCCACTTCCATTCCATCTGCTTTCGCAAATTCCTAACACTTTAATGCGATACCTTCTCATCTCGTTTGCAATGTGGGCAGCCTTGCTAGGTTCAAACATGGTGCGAGCATTCCATTTCCCCACGTTTACTTTCGCTTTCATCGAGAGAAGGGAAGACACATTGGCCAATTGGCTTCCCGAAGGCTTTCACCAACCGGCGTCATTTCGCCGCTCCGATCCCAGCGAGGAATAATATTGTTATTATTTTTATATTTTGTTTTTGCTTTGAGGTTTGTTTAGCGGTTAGATTTGTTTTCCGGGGTGGGGTTGCTAGCCCTACACCCAACCTTCCCTGTTTACCCGGGCTTAGGACCGGCTAGTAACTAGTGAAGTAGTTAACCAGGCGACGTCTCATAGTGTAGGAATATACACTATAGTGGTAACTGCTTTTTTCGTGCGACTATCTGACAGAGCTTTCCCGAGGGAACAAGCATTCAACCAGCATGGCTCGTTATGTAATATGCAAGCCTGACCACCACATCAGCTATCGGTCGGGCGGGGCCATGGGAAAACCATGCATTATCACACCTGTATCATTTATACTTTTTGTATCATGCAGTTAAATGTTCCCCCTTAGTTTTCCGACTGAATCTCCTGAATATCTTATCTCGTATTTTTGCAGAAAATAGTGAAACGTTAACAAATGACTGTTTGCTATCAGTTACACAAATATGGTGTTAATCGTGACCTATCTGGATGTGATGGAGACAGATTACTATTAAAGACACCGAAGGCGCGTTCCACACTAAACTTGTTGGCTCGTTCTCAAAGCCAGCTGGAAAAAATGAACGTAATTCTTTTTGTTTTCATTTTCTTAACTATCAGATCATATCCGAGTTATGTGATGGTGAAAATGTGCTTGTTGACGATCTGAAAGTAGTTGTAAAGGTAAAAGTGGTACGCGTTTTATTCATTTCTCTCAAGGTATACAAACACCCTTTAAAAAAACTGGGAATACTAACTTCAGCAGAGATATACCAACTTTTTTATACCATTGAATCAGTTATACCACTTTTTGAAAGTTTGTTCATCTTAACTATTTGTCCTCTTATTATAGGGCTAGCAAATGATCTTTCCTCGGGATTTAAGAAGTCTTTTGATTTGCCTGTCATAGGAACAATTTTATCTTTGTGGGTAAGTCTATTTTTGATGATATTTTTCGCAAACGCAGTGCAGATTCTGCTTCTCGATGTCCTGTTTCTTGACATTCGAAGTTCATAATTAGTCGGTTTCATAAAAACCAATTAGTTCCCTATAATTTAAATCTGTATAGAATTGATAAGGGTTTTCATGTATTCCTACACAAGGACTGGTGTTGTATTAGATTCAAGTATTCCACAATTGTATTTATTTGTCCCTTACTCAGACTTAAATTGTGATAAGATCTGTTGTGAAAATTGAAGAGACGTTATTTAGTTTTTGCGTGTATTTGAACACCATTCATTTCGTCTGCACTTTTCACAGATTTTCTGTGAAACGTTAATTCTCCGCAGATAGCATTTCATGATTCTTCTGATACACTTTTGATCGGGAGCTTAATTTTGCTGGTTGAGTGATTTATTGCTGTTTAACACTGACAAGTATGCTGTGTTGGTACATCACATCTGAATTTTATTTAATTGGACAGGTTTTTGGTTAGGTGTGATGACCACTTCACTCCTTCAAAAATTTGGATATACAGTGATAAGCTGACCACTGGTTTAATCGTTATGCGAAGACGAAAACCTCAAGTTTCTTTCATTTGCCTAGCCTTACGTAACACCCCTAATATCTTCATATCCATTAATTGTCGGGTTTGGAGTATGGCTTTAAACGTTTTTGTTAACTGTTCATGAAATGACTTCTTTCCGACAGAAACATAAGTCACTGAGAACATTGAAGGCCGCTGAGATGGAATCAGTCGGCATCAACATAGGAACTGGCATTAATGCATAGCAGACCAAGCAAGAAGGGATCGCGATGAAAGATAGGGGGATAAGGAAGAAGGTGATCAAAACTATTAAGATTAGGATATTGTGTAGATACATCTATACCATTGACATGGATTATGAGCCATATCACGTAGAGTCGTCAACCACCGATTTAGGTTGTCATGTGGACCCTTAACCAGCAAGTCTACATTAAACCACATGGCTCAGACTAACAGTCAGAGACTTCATGAACTGATGCCGTGTTTTATTTTGGTCGCCTCTTACGTTTTACCAGCATAAACCTACTTCACGTAACATCATGTGACGCGAGTCAGATGGTGACTAGGCAGGCATGCGTAGCACAGGTTGCAGTCATATGAATCGTTAAAGGTTCCTAACCTCGTTGACTTACTTACCTCTTGTGCCTAAAACGGTGCCTTATTTCTACGTTATGGATGCGGTGGCATGAAAGAAGTTCACTCAGAAACCTTACTCACATTCATGCAGTAGACAGTGAGCCATACTTATTTTGCGAAGACTAGTGATACTCCTGGCTGCCAAACTTTGGTAGGTGCAGCAATATCCGAATCGGCAACTCAGTGGTTGAAACGCAACTCTCTAAACCATTGGACCGCAACTCAGCTGGCAGCGCACCATGACACAGCCAATGCTATGGAGTCTACGGTGGTCGAACACTTGAAGCTTGTATCACTTAGTTGTGTTCCCTCATTGTAAACTTGTGATTGACTTCCACTTCTGCTAAAGACGTGACAATTGCATTGCTTGCTTTAACATAAATTGACCAAGGGTCATCGGAACTATCGGAAGTGGTGGGTGTTGGAAGCGAAAGAGATGGAGAAGTTGCCAACTTCACATTACAGGTCTCAGCGTCCAAACTCTAGGCCGTATCGGAAAACAGATATCTTTTGACAAAACTCTAGAATCGATGACCATGGAAATATGCTGTGTTTCCAACACAAGTATACAGCACCCGTGTAGTTATTCACTAGATCTCAGCTGGCCAATGTGGTGAATCCACAGAATTCATTCCATGAGTGTCCAGAGATTCAATGCCTACCTCTTGTAGACATGCTGGTGTAAGCATAGCATTAAGTTCTCGAGCAGGAAACGTAGTGAAGGACAGACACTCTTCCTCGAGTACGCGCTTGCACTACAATCATATGTATGTCTGCGTTCTACCGGACGGGTGAAAGAAGCAGTGAAGCAGTGTGCTCAACAGAGAGATGAAAATGTCAGGTGTGCATTTGGCTAGGAGCTTCCCAACGATCGGAAGTGGTGGTGGAAGCGAAGGAGATGGAGAAGGCATCAGCACTAGGTAATACCCAGCAACTACTTAGGCTTTTTGGAGATACCGACGAAAAGAAGACGATGGTGAGTAAGACCATCATCAAGAAGGATGGATCCCTGAAAACCTCTTGGGACAGGGGGCTAGAACATTGGACAGAACACTTTGAAGCACAGTTCGACAGACCTACAGCAACGATCCAGTTTTCCAGCATCCAGCCCTTGACCTGAGTGGGACGTAGATATCGATTTTCCAACTCAATTCGAAGTTGCGATGGCTGTTTTAAACCTGAGACAATAGAAGGAAGCACGATCAGACGTTTTTGAGGATGGAGGTGGTAAATTACTGACTACAGTAACGGCACATAGGAATCAGAGGTAGTGCCATTAGACTATTCTTGGTCGCTGACCATTCCCGTTTAGATAACGGGAGAGAGGAGTCTTGTTGTCACAATCATAAGAACATCAGTTTGATTAACGTCGTGTTAAAGATTCTAGAGTTTACAGTTATCCGGTGCCTAAGTAGAACTTTAGAAAACTGGAGAGGTTTCAGATCTGGACGAGGATGCATGGGTTAAATCTCCTCTCTTCGACAAGTTTTGTAACACAGGTATACTTACTGGTGCTCGAAACTTGCCATATTTGTTGACCTGAACGCAACATTCGACTGTGTCGACCGAGAGCTGTTGTAGCAGTATCCGACTGAAAGAACTACCGAGCAAGTACATGCTGCTAATCAAATCTTGTAACTCAAACTCAGGCAGCCATGTTATGGCTTCCGGAGAGTTGTCATATGAAGTGACAGCAATTAGTGGTATCCGTGAGGGATACCTGTTGTCACCGTTCATGTTTAACTTCTTCATAGACGAACCAACATATGTAACCCTGGGTACCAATGGCTTCACACCTGATTTACTCTCTGAACGACATTTGGTTGAATTGGAGTACGCAGACGACATTATCCTACTACGTGTAGATGCTCACAGAATGTTAGGTCTTCTGAATGCCTTGAGTATAAATCTGAGTATGTTTTTATGCATGTCGCACCTGCCAAATGTAGGATAATCCCTCGGTACTGGTCTGCACGAACTCTTAACTCAAGGGTATCCAGTGAAGTAGTTGAATACATTGACCACTTCATTTACTTTTGGAGTTTCATCTTCACAAATGGATTGGTTGCTGGTGAAAATGAGTCGCGATACAAAACGCCCTTTTGGTATTTGGTAACTGGCGTCAATTCGGACGCCGACTGGCGAGATATCCGACTACTTATTAAAGGATGAATATTTGGTACCTCATTACACTCTGTCATATTATACAGCTGTAAGATGTGGCCGTTAACAGTCATTTGGTGAGGTTGTAAGCATTCAGCGGGTGAGACGGTTTGTGTATGTTGCATGTGACAGGTGGATGCCTAAGTGAACATGGCATGTTAGCCGAAGTAGGACTGAGTTGGAAGAGGGATCACGGAAACCAGATCAAAACGTAGCATCATGAAGTCCGTGACTTTTGGTTTTGTTGTTCAGAGAGACGTATACCGTCTGGTTGAGGTTCTCGAAACCTTAGGAATCAGTGGTCAAGGACTCTTGATAATTTAGCTGAAAATCAGTGAGAATGGTACACATGTATTCATCCTCTGACGTCTTCAAGTGTTTGAATATTATCAACACTTTTATTATTTTAAATTTTTTCTCCTCTTACACACTTATCTTTGCTCTAATATCAGTCTTTTTCTATCCACTTTTTTGTTGTAAGCTGCAATGAAGTGTAGCAACTTGGATCGTTGTATTTCTAGTCTCCTAGTCTCCAAACATCAGTGTTTGCTCTAGTAAACCACAACCACAACCGCAAGCTTCAGACCAATAACAGAATAATTCATGGATTGAAGCCATGTTTATTTCAACCACCCTTGACTTTTTGCGACCTAACTCTAAGTCAACTAACGTTACACGTTGAGGGAAACCCTAACTAGGCATGTGTGTTACATAACCAAGCCACGTAAACCGACTAAAGTTCATGATCTGATCAGCTAACTTAGATGTAACTTATCGACACAGGAATTCAACTATCCAGAAATAGGTTACGAGGTTCGTATCCCTCCCCACTACTGTCATATTTAAACGGCTATTTCGCAGTTATGTATTCTAAGTCCACTTAGTAACCTTGCGCATATTTGTATAGTAACCAATGAGTCACACCTATTGTGAAGGGTGAGACTATCTGGCTACCCAAATCTCGGTATGTAGAGCGGTGCTCGAATCGGCGACCCACTGGTTGAAAGTCAACTCCGTAAACCAATGTGTGAAAAGTGTATGCAGTCATATCACTTGACATCAGTTTGTGATTACTTTCAGGATGATTTGAATAGCGCCGGGTGATTAGGTGAAGATTTCAGGGAGTTTTTGAAGGGTTTTGCGGGTGAGATCGTTTATTGTGCGCCCGGATATTCGCCACTTATCTTAGTGTGCAATGCTATAAGTTTTATTTAGGTGGACGAAGGCCTGGGGTGGCCAGCCCAAGGTGTGGCACCAGTTGATGAAGTTCCTGATTGTTGTTCTGACCCTCATGGGAAGGAATAGACTACGTTTTTGCCATCCCTGAGATGATGGGAACCGATGGTTTGAGACTCTTGTCGACATTTCTGAAAATCGGTGGGAATAATTTGGATGTATTCAGTTTGATGTCTTCAAAAGTTTGAACATCTTCGGAAACCTTCATTTTTTGAGCTCTTTGCCCTCCTATACACTTATGTATACTTTGGTTTTACAGTTTTTTTTTCTATCCACTTGTTCTTTTCTTACTACTGTGGACTGAGGCAAGTTGAACTGATGTACTTCTATGCGATATTTTACATTGAATTCCATAGGCCTGACATTGATTACCATCTTGTTATTATTACTGGTACATTATCTAATCTTACAAGGAGGTGAATTATGGTTTATTTATTTTATTGATAATATTTTTGACTTCTTTACTGAGTGATGTGGTTTACTGTCTCCGAGGAAACAACATTGCTCAAAGTTGTGAATGCATCTTATTGATGAATGCCAAAACGTGCACAACTTTGGTTCGGTGCTTTCTGCTGATTCTCTTGAAACACCTAACCCTGTTCATTTTCTCAGTAATAAGTGGTCTTCCTTGTGTATTGATTCAACCATACCACTTCGATACAGTTTTATAATTTCATTGTATGTATGCCAACATTTAAGAATCAGGACAATAATTATTTCACAAGTTTGTTTTCTTTTTATAATAATAACAAGAAAAACTGTAGCCACCCATATTGCATTGCATGTGTCTAGAAACTTTTATCCTTTCCATTTACCAGTTAGGTATTGGGTCAATAACAGAATTGTCTTCTAACTACCTTGACAATGTTCGAAATCGGCATCCATTATTTTCACCTAGATTTATTCAATCCGTTCATGACAATTATGTTGAGACAATGCCTTCTTCAGTTAAAATTCTTTTGGATTATTCTGTTCATTTATATGAAGCTCGGAAGTACTATGATGCTTTACGTGAACAAAGGCCTGCATTTAATGATTTTCTTTCTCGTTGTTCACATACAAATTTCAGTAAACGTTTGGACCTATGGCACTTTCTAGGTAATTAATTTTGTGTTTTAAAACAACTAATTTCTTATCAGGTAGAAAATTTATATCGTGATGTCTCTTTGTAGAAACTAGTTTCTAATTGTGGTACCATTTTTATATTTTGTATAATGGATCAATAGCCAAAGAACATAAAACTTGTGTAATGACTTCGAATCTGTCCCTGTCTACGTTTATGTCGGTTGCCAGGCAGCAGGCATAACAGGTCAAAGCGTGTAATGAGAAGTTTGACGCGCGTATTGATTCACAGTAATGCATGAAAATTATCTTGATGTCATTTTGAAGATATTGAGCTTATATGTATGAGAAGGTGGATTGCTTACTCATGACTAGATTTCCCCTATTAGCTGCGTATATCCGGAGGAGTTTTATTTGATGTTTCTATCAGTGTTAGAATAAGGACTTAATCCATTTATGTCACTTTGTCAGAATGATCATAGATTCCATCGTCTATAAAAAATGTCTCATGAGCGAATCTATCTTTTTCCATAAATTGAAAAGAATAACTACAAAAGTTAAAGGATGTTGCATGGTTGGTATACTCCAAATGTCACCCCGATGTATTTGGGTCTAGTTGACTTTCTTCTAGCACTTAAGGTCTAGTAGTAGATCATTGGAACCTAATGTTCATCGGTTCCAGATTAATCACAGGTTTACCAACTTCAACAGCGGTACGGAGAAAGTCAATGTTAACTTTAGGGTACAACTCGATAATAGGTAGTGAAACAGTGGTTTCTGTGTTTTACTCGTCATTCAACTTGTTGATCATTAATCCGTGTTTTTAGGATATGCTCTGATAAACATTCTTCTTTTTTATTGCGATCCGCTTGAGATAGAGTCTAATGGCCGTCTACTATCCCGCACAATTAGTGGTATTTCTGTGTGTTTTACTACTGCTACCCAATACTGTCCAATCATTCCTCAGTTTGTCTTTAATATATCACTTCTTATCAAATATGGAACCAACCGGTATGAGTTAGCGTCTCTAATTCTGACTAAGTTATTGACTTTTCCCTACCCTAAACTACTCAGTCCTTACCACAACTATGCAACAAATTGAAGAGGACACTGCAACACCTCAAAGCGACATGCATGTATGTTGAATTTCTATACTATGATGACTGTATTTATATGCATATCTTTCTACCGAAGAGCAAATAAATGTTAGTAGGTAAGTAGACAATCTGTGAACATATCAGTGTGATTATCCCAACTTCCTACAATGGGATGAAAAATGAAAGCGTTCATATGGTTATGATGTATTCATGAAACGCGATTTCTATCCTATCACTCAGACAGCACTAACTTAAGAACTGAGATTACTGTGTAACTGTCCAAGTTGCCACACTTCACGTCAGGATATCAAGCAAGAAGGCATCGTGATAAAATATAGGGGAATAAAGAAGGTGTTCAAAAGTCGCAGAAAGTTATGCAAAGAGAGGAAGAAGAAATGAAACGATAACGAAATTTAGTATGACGATCAAGATAAAGATAATGTGTGGATACATCTATACCATTGACATGGAATATGAGCCATATCACTTAGAGTCGTCAACCACCGATTTAGGTTGTCATGTGGACCCTTAACCAGCAAGTCTACATTAAACCACATGGCTCAGACTAACAGTCAGAGACTTCATGAACTGATGCCGTGTTTTATTTTGGTCGCCTCTTACGTTTTACCAGCATAAACCTACTTCACGTAACATCATGTGACGCGAGTCAGATGGTGACTAGGCAGGCATGCGTAGCACAGGTTGCAGTCATATGAATCGTTAAAGGTTCCTAACCTCATTGACTTACTTCTTATGAGTACACCTATGCCTTCTACGTTACTAACGCGATGGAACCACAGCACTCGGCCTATGCTATGGAGGCAGCAGTAGTCGACCAGTTTAGGCGTTCTAATGTCTTCAACCTTCAGTGACCATGTTTTGCAACCGTGTCATAGAATGTAGCAGTCTGCAGCTGAGTGCATTTGACCCTTAGTAGTCGGTTGGTATCACGCCGGTGCTGCAGAAGGTGCAAGTTGGAGAAAACAAGGAAAGCCTTTTGCCTTCTTATTAAGATTTCGTCGGTCACCGACCCACCAAGCCTGATTCATTTTCCTGCAATTTGTATCCTGCGGTCTAGTGTTATGTTCCTTGACATTGTCACGTATACAATCCATCACTTTCCAAAGGAATCGGATGTCTAAATTTTCGAACTTGTCACATTATTTATTTAAAGCCAAGTGAATTACCATATATGTATCCTGTGTGCACATCTACTAAGCGGGTTGGCTATTTAGAATTTTTAGGTTGTAAGGCCTGTAACGGTAATGAAATGAATGTTTGAATATTGAAGTCCCAAAGTTGCATCCTTTTAATGAGCGACGAGTAGTTTTCGGAAGCTAACAGTCACTTGAAAGCTCTTTATGAGGTGGTAAAAATGTGATAAGTTATTTTAATTAGGTAGAATGGAGGAAAATCAAGGGATGATGAAACGATGAAGCGTGATGGTTAGTTCTGAAAAGCATCAGTTTCAGTCTATTATTTGCCAATATTCGCCATTTTAGGCTAAGCGTTAGTAGGGGCAGAAAACTAGTTAAAGACATATCTAAGTGCTTCCGTCAGTCACTATTTAACGTCCCGTTTTTCGAAAAAGTAATTGACCATGAATAATGTGTGGAAATCTGTTGGGAGCTATTCTACTAATGAGGCAATGAAAATTGTATTACTAATTTGGATGGTTAAGCAATTAAAATAAGTTGTTAGGTTGACTGCAGCAATACTAACAATACAAAATTTCAGCCGTACACAGTTTCGTGTATTAGGTTGTGAATCGCACGTTTGTTTTTTAAGGTCAACGAACAAGACACTACCGGTCTGTACATCATTGATAGAATAATGTTCGAAAGTCTGGCAGTTTGGTAAGAAGTTGAGTTCCTAAACCATACACCACAGCTGCACAATAATTCGTAAGTTTAATTTTAATCGTCTTATAAGTGAAATATATTTTGTAAAATCCCAATGAAGTAGAAAAATGAATTTCTGACGTAACACCGCTTTTTAATCTGTACAAGTTATCGATAGTTTAAACTACCGATAACTTGTACAGGTTTTATTTTCTGAAGAAGCGATTTCCACAAAGTCGCGAAACGTCAGAAATTTATTTTTCTACTTCATTGGGATTTTACAAAATATATTTCATTTACAATCCAATCACCCAATGCTCAACGTATTCAACTCTCTCAGGTCACATTTTGATCCTGAAGTTTACAAAATTATTATTAATCGCCTTAGATTTAAATTTCATATATAATGACATTCATCGGAGACTCGAATTCACGTCACTCAGCCTGCAAGCAGATGGGTTATCATCGAGAATTCTTTTATTGAAATTGCTTGTAGTGTTGGGATAATTAGGGACTACACTTCACGCTAAAATCCTTAAATATAAAAAATAGTGAAGCTCAATCTGGTTCATCATTGTGTACTACTAGACTATGACCCAAACTAATGGTGTGAGGGTTTAGGATACTCTCCAGTAGTTACCCAAACCGAAGTTGATGGGGCGGGATTTGAATCCAGGACATATTGCTCGAAAGTTCAGGAATGAACTCTGTGAAGCGAAATGTGTATTTTGAGGATGCTTCTGCCGACATACTAGACAGACATTTGATTTTTTCTATCTTTCTAACCATTCAGTTACAGGTTTGTTCGCCCGTCTGATTCTTAAACACACACAACCCGTATGGTCTAGATTTTTCAGTTATCTTAAGGCGATTGCAAAGGCCAGACTAGCAGTTATCAAAATAGTTTATTAGGCTTCTTGAGTGACTTTAAAAGCTACCTTCAACTGAAATAATCAATTTGACTTCTCTGTTTTACGAGAATCTGCCTTTCTAGCGGAAACGAAGAAACCTAATTGGCTGTGCCAGTGGTTTCTGGGATGGTATTTGAAGTCGGTCTTATCTTACGGAGTTAATATTTTTTTTAAAATTGATGTATCGTTCATTTCTTCGCACTATTTTTTTGGCTACTCCTTTGCTTTAAATATGTTATTTAGTTTGTTCCATTGAAAAAGATAAACTTCTGTGTTGTAGAAATAATTCTTACTTTCCATTTGAAATAAATTCCTTGAATTCAAGCATTGTCTTTTCCTTAGATTAGTCGTGCTCAGTTGAGGAGGTAGTCGTTTTTCGTTAGGAACTTCATAATCTTACAACTCAACTTTGTTATAAAATAAAAAGACATTCAGTGAAGAGGCACTCTTTTCAACAATACTATTCTCAAGCTATCCAATCACATATAAATGTATTTATTTAATAAAAGCAGCAAAAATTTCGTAAAATATTTAAGTGAATTTCAGTTCTGATTACAGGTCAGGTGATTGGTGAAAGAGTTAAGTAATGTAGAAAATAGTGACCTGAGAGAAATTTGTTAACAAGGAAGCAGTATTAAATTACTGAGTTGATTGGTGTGATGTAGTTAAGAGAATTGATAAATGTAACTTAAAAGTGTAAAAAAGAAAGTGTATGGTTAGAGGAATGTGATATGTGAGATGTAATATGTTACTGTTAGAGTAAAACAAGACATTTTAAGGGTTGAATGTTTTTATAGGTCATGTCTACTACACATTAAGTGATTAGATAAGCTTGCTGAGTTCATGATTAAAAATATGTATCGTCATGGTCTCAATTTGAGGGAGTTTTTAGTGTACGCGTTGTACTTAGTCTGTACAAAGTCCATAGATGACAATGAAGTCTTTGAATTCGGTCTGGTAGAGATAACTCCCATTCAATACATTTGTTTCACAATCGGAGTACGAGGCCATATGAACTCATAAGATTGCATATATATATATATATATATATATATATATATATATATATATATATATATCTGTATGGAGGTAATTTGTTTCCTATGTTTCTATGTGTACTTACAATACCAATAATTTAGTACCAGTAGCCTAACCAGTCATCAGTGCAACACTATTTTCCAGTTTGATCCGTTCAATTCTGTAACATTCAGTTAACTTTGATCACAGAGCTCCACCAGATTCCTCTTTCAATGCTATTTACAAAGTTGAAGGAAACAGTTCAAAGAGAATGTGCTTTGAAAATTTATGCACAGCAGAAGCACTGGCAATCTACTAATTTACACCTGACCTGGAGAGAAAGAATGTTCAATCTCTTATCTTGTCATAGTCTTAACTCTTCCCGCTTCCTTTTGGTGTCATTATAACTGATCAGATAACTGTTATCACCTTCATTAAACCCTTGGTTCTCTCTTCACCTTTTCACAACAATCTTCAGTTTGCTTAAGCTTTTGCCTTTCTCGTTAGTTGTATTGTCTGATAGGTTATTGTGTAACTCCTTTCCACTTTTTATTTTAGTTTGTGATGATTTAGCTATGTCCTATTATTCAGTAACAGACTGTTATGTTTGTGACTTATATATGGATACAATTGTACAGCTTTGGAAATTGGATCGTCTAAAAAGAAAGTTTTCTCCGCTGGATCGTCTTTTCTTCTCTTTAATAACTTGATGATCTTAATAATTTATAGTCTAACATTTGATCAAGTGAAACTGGATAAAACTTTCGTGCTAGGTCCATATCGTGGATTTGTGGTTGTTCATTTCTATCATTTGATTTTCAACTAGTTCGTCATGGGTTTATGTTTCGTTTAACTTCCTACCCAGGTTCATTCAACCAGATAGTGTTATCAAATTTTACGCAGAAAATTTGCCTTAGTTGAGTCCATTGGTTTACACAGTGTTAACGAGTACTATTCAGTTTTAAAAAAGGTCTAGCAGCTATTAGGACAGTTGGTAATTAATCTAATCTGATGTTCAAACTTACAAAATATCAATCGGTTAACACGTTATGTATGTTATTCATGATTACCTTCCAGTGTTTTTGCTATATGGTTTAACTTGTGACGTAATTGACGCCATAGGTTGCATAATCCTTTTTAAATACAAATTATTTTATAATCTTTGGTGTTTCAGTCGTTATTTGAATAATATCAATTTGGTAACAAGAATAGTAGAACTACTATCAATAAAGTAGTGTTAAGCATGATTTCTTATACTATTTTGTCCTTATGAAGTATTCTGAGTTAGGTGAAAAAAAACTCAATATATTTTAGGAAATACTTTTTCTTTTAGAAGCATCCTTTCGGGAGCATTTTACAGTGAAACATACTTAAAATGTCTGGGTGCATATTTCCACATTATTTGATTGACAAGATGCATGTTTGTACGCATACATTTTATGTAGTCTCCTACTCGCTTGTCTCCTCTTCTATTTTGAATTTGTTCCCTTGTTTCTGTTTTTGATTCGGCAGAATGTCCCAAAACTAGATTAATTCGATATCCGTTATTGCTAGACCGGTTGATCAAATTGGTGAGTTCTTGTAAAACTTTGGGAAACTGTTCATATTTTTCGTCACTTTTTTGTTCGTTTCCTATTCTCAATTTCTATCATTAGCGTTACTTGTCATTAATTGGTATACTCAAATAGTTATGCAATATCAAGTTATTAATATATCGGGTAAGAGTTATGGAATTACCTACACAGTGCTAAGGAATATGCTTTTCCTCTGTTAAAGTCTCATTAGTCTCCACCTTGAAATACAATACTTCAAACTTAGAACAAATACGCGTCGAGTGGTTACATGAATTTCTGACTGTTATCTATACAACAGGCTAATTATGGGGTCAAAACTATATGGGAGTTTATTTACCAAGATTCCAGATAATTGATGTATAGAAGAATTGGCAAGTGTAGGGGTTATCAACTACAACTGGATCAAAGTGCAACATCGTAACAGGTAGTAACTATAAGATATTACAGCAAATGAAAATTAAAAACACAAAATTACAAAAATGTAAATCAAAGGGGAAAACGCTAAATCAGATTTCTTTAGAATGTGAGCAAGTTAGCTGAGTCATTGTTTACCTTGATTATGTAAACTGCATCCTTGCTGATGACATCAAAAGAATACGAAAATGTTTGAGTGGTTTTTGCATTCAGAGCTCAGGTTTCTTCCTGCTTGTGACATTCTATCTGGCTTGTGGATGCCTAAGAAAGAAGACTTAATGTCGACATTTTGTCATAGTTCGTCCTAAATAGCTGACTCCACAGGAGTAGTTAAGTTTATAGGTACATACTGGCATGTACATATGAGAAATACTATTCTCCAAATGGGATGATAAGACGCTTTTCGTGAATGTCAATCCCAGATAAGCTGCAGGAAACGTCTTCTTTAACGAAAGTTGAAGTCTGCTTGGAGTAATTTTGACCAGATTGTCACCCTTAAACTAAAGGTTGATGAATATTCGCTTCTCGTCGCGGGTAGAGATGACTGGCTTGTCCGTTTTTATTTTATTCTTAATGAAACTCTTGGGGTATCCGTTCTGTCTGAACGTGCCCATCAAATCTATATCTATCGTAGCGTTAGAGCAAATTCTTGTTTGTTCAAACAGACATTGAATCAAATTCTTCTTTACCATAGTAGGACAAAATTATAAAAGTGTGGATATTTTTCACTTCAGGACTGTCTGTGGTAAACACTTCTGATAGTCTCTCCTCGGTCTGATCCAGTTAGCAGAACATCGATAAAATATATTTACGTCGTATTTTTCAGTTCATGGGAGGATGTTATCCGTGGATGCTATTTGTTTTTCTTCATTGGTAGTTCTTTTATCTTCGGCTTCTTATCTCAAATAACAAAGAAGTCGTCCATATGTCTGTATTAAATATCTACTGAATCTATGTACGTCTTCAAATTACCGTTTTCCAACTTTGATTGATGTTTACAATATATTCAGTTTTGTGTTGCATGGTAATGTTCACCCTCCGAAATGAAATGGGTGGTTATTAAGTTGATATGAAGGTATGAAAACGGTCATATATATATATATATATATATATATATCAGCAACTGAATGCTTTGATTTTGAAAAAGGTGGCTGTAGTTCACTGTGCATTTAGAAATGCTCTGATATGGTCAATTGACTTACAAGTTTCAGTCATAAGAATCTTATTTAGTATATTTATGTGACTAAAGTATCGTGATAAAAAACGAATGTTTTTTAAGCAGATTGGTAAATCTTGCATATTCATTTTCAATGTTCGAACATGAACAGCTGGGAAAATGTAAAAAAAGGAATTCGCATAAAGTTTTCCTGGCTTTTCATCTTTATAACTACTTTTTTACGGCCTTTCTTACCACCATGCTCGATGTACCTACAACCCACTGAATGGTGTTGTTCCCGCTGGGACTCGAACGCAATACCCATCGCTTCAAGCACCAAAGCGCTATCCATTAGGTGGTTGGGACACGAGAACCACCTATTGTGCAATCAGTACCCATCGTTGTTCATTGATAATTGCAATTTCTTGTTGTTATACTGGGTCGAATTGCTCGACCTCCGTTGGGAGATGGGCTCCTATGGGGATGCCTTAATACTGTCTGCATAGTCCATTATATTTTGGTCTGGATCTAGGTGACGAGTCCAGACTAGGACAAAACGCACCTCCTAGATTCCACTGCTAGCCACCAATGTAATGAATATCCAGGCACTATCGAGGCATCTGCATAAGAGCCTACGTGCAACAATGGTCAAGCAATTCGACCAAGTATAGGAACGGGAAATTGCAAGTACCAATCAACAACAAAACTTTTTCACATTGCAGCACATAGTTTCAAATTTCATTTAATACTGGATGATGATGAGCTACGAGGTCCAGTTGGTCGAGCATCAGGCCGGAAACCTAGTAGTCGCTGGTTCGAATCCGACCGTGGTCCAAATTTTCATTTCACCTTCAATCATCACCCATTATAAATACTAGTCTGCGAAACCACGGCAATCTTAAATGATCAAAATGATATTCAATTGTTATGTTATAAAGTCTTAAGCAACTGTTCATTTCATTTTTAGACACCTTCAACAGATCCAGACCTGAGTTATTTACTTGGTGTTCGATCAGCATTTATTTCTATTGCTCAAGAATTAAATCGGAAAGTTGGGACAGCTATGCGTGATTTATACTTGAAACACATTGAATTTGATATGGATTTTGAAGTTGGTTTGACTTACTGTTGATCTATATTATTTTGTTTTAGTACTGTTGTATAATCCTTCTTTTATTTCTTTACTGAGTAAGAATGGAACTTAATTCACATATAATAGGATTTGGTAATTTTGACTGTGAATGTGTTTGACAAAGAAACACTATGTATTGTTTTTAAACTGTGTTGCGATTTGAAAATGTGCGAACTTGTGTACGGAAATATGTATCATATCTATCTTATGAAAGTAAAATAATACCTATCAGATATCTTTTTTACTACTATAGACAATAAGATTTAGTTTCATAGAGTTATAATTTATAGTCTAGACTATAGATCCAGCTAATTTAGTCAATCGTTCGCATAGAGTTTGATTTCAATTTCTTTTATATTTTGATTATATATTATTAGTGTCATTAAGGAGAGTTAATTGACAGAAAATCGTGCTTAACTTGTACGTCATCTTTACTTGATCTTATTGGCATGATCTACTTACGGTATTTATAAGAATTATATTCACTCGGTGATTACAACTTGGATAATTATGTGATGTAACCTGTGACGTTTTACACCAATCTATTGAGGTTTGAATTACTCCCCCCCTCCCCCCCCCCTGCAGGCTTAGATTATGGACACCAGGTGTTCATGGGATGGTAATTGACTTTATCTATAAAGTCCTACTTGTCAATCATAAAACAAGTTTCTCCTATTACCAATGCCATTGTTGTATTTGTTTTAATTGTTAAAGTTAAATTACTGAGAAATGTTGTGAACTTTAAACTTTTGCAGAGATGGAATAATAAAAATATACAACCAACACCAATTAAGCGTGTTACTTTATATGGAACAAATAAATCGGATAAAATTTCGTAGATGCTAAATCATGTTATAACTTTTATCTATCTATTCTGAAGCATTTCAACATACTTTCTTCAATACAGTAAAAAGCTACCTTAGTCATGAGATCAGCTGCACAAACAACAACATTCGGCCTCTTTCGAAAGTGAATTAGCTATTTTTTCGGAATTTTATCTTTAAGAAATGTGACTCAATAGAATTTACACGTTTCTATCAACTACAAAGTTATAAAATCGAATTCGTTTCTAGTTATTTCAGATACACACTCGAGTAGCATCGTATATACCCAAGAAATCAAACATTAATTACAGCCTTGTACCAGAGTTTGCATTTGTTTGCTAGGACTCGAGCCCAGGAGCTCCAGGTTCCGTAGCCAGCACGTTACCGCTGGGCTACTGGGTCGGAACCCAGTAGTCCATATTTTCTACTTCTCTCAATTCACGACCCACATTCAATGTCGTCGTTGAATAACTGTCCTCATGTTCCACTTAGTTGACTCCGCTAGTCACGGTTTCTCATTGGAAATTCTGGAATCACCTCACGAAGTTAGTCGCCAATGAGGGCTAGATTTATTCCATCTGAAGATCTATGGAGATTTATTAATTGATTTTCGGTTGGAATTCATCATAGACTTACATCAGTTGGAGAAACATTGGGAACCTTGGCGCGCTGGACAGCTATTTCGTCCTAGTATGGGACTCAGCGGTGCACACTCATGACCCCGCTAGGGATCGAACCCAGGATGTAGATTGCGCTATATCGTGAACTGACAGGAATAGGAAATATGGACTATTGGATTCCGACCCAGTGGTTCAGTCGTAACGTGCTGGCCACGGAACCTAAAGATCCTGGGTTTGATCCCTGGCGAGGCGGGGTCATGGTCTTGTACTGCTGAGAAGCCCCATACTAGGACAAAACAGCTGTCAAGTGCTCCTAGGTTTCCAATGTTCCTCCAGCGGATATCAGTCCATGATGGATTCCAACCTAAAATCAGTTAATAAATCTCCAAAAACCTCCCAGATAGAATTTCAGTTGTAGCAACTTGTATGTCTATTGACTTTATTATTTTTTTCTTTCAGACTGTAGCTTTATCTATGTTTGGAGCTGAATTCTATAGATTATTGTAATAATGTAGCATCTATTCTGGTCAACAGAACTCGGTGTAATAATATTCACAGGAAGACTTCTTTCTTGAAGTTTCATTATATCTCAAACCTTTGCTACCACTATAGATTCATTTGTTGCGTTTCCGTATACATGTCGATGAGTATGACATATGCATTTCATTTTGTATTACTTCCAGAATAAGGATATGTTATGGCGTCAAAAATCATTGTTATTGAAAGGAAATCTACATACTGATGTCGGTGAAGTAAGTCATGCTTACAATATGGTAAGAGCATTACTATTTAATTACAAATATGTGGTTAACGTGGTTAATATAAACACTTTGGTTGGGTATTGGAAATCTTAGCTGCTACCTTAATATGGTGGTCGAACTTGCATGTCAGAGTGACCCAGCGAGTTGTGCAATTGGAAACATTTGTTCCTTGAGGTCCTACCAAACCTGGAAGATTTGTTGGGTAGCGGTAAGACAAAAAAGCAGTTACAGTTATAGTGTATTATACTAATCTGTGACGGGGGTTCAAGGGAGAAATCGTACGGTTAGCTGGAAGAAATGTGGCCGCAGTAAGGTGTTCCCCTAGGGTGACCGGCGGTACCATACCTCCCTACGGGAGAAAGGAGGATTAAAAGAGGTCTGACTCAAAATATTCCGATGCGGGTGGTTTAGGCTTTCTAGTAAAAACCTAAACCAACCCACAAACCCCATGACTGCTGATCTGACTCATGTAAAGAGATATAATTTACCAGGTTTAGGATCTTCAAAGTTTTACAAGTCAATGATTGGATACTTTTAAAAGTATGGTTCAAAATCGATCATTCTTTTCTTCTAGAGCCTGAGGAAGTTGTTGAAAAGAATATTCACCAAACTGTCTTGAAAAATCCGAACATTTTATTCTTCAGTCATTCGTTCTACTTTATTCTTAATTTTACTGTTAATCTACTCTCTCGATACCCCTGTGCTGTTTCGAGGTATGGAAAATTCTCGGCGACATGTATCCGGGACTTATATTTTCCCCTTTGTTTTGAACTTCAATAATCCTCTAAGTTTACAAAAGTTTTCCTGTCAGTCATATCTACTTAACAGTCTAGTCAATAAACTAGAAAAAAGTCGTTTAAAATGATAAACCGAAAATCATCTCTACTCAAAAATATTTAGAACTAGTGTGATTTCAGCTAAACTGCAGGAAGTTTCTGGAAATTTAAAATGTATTTATTAAAAGTGTACAATCCTAAATCACTTCCATATCAAGAAAGTTGTCTCTATTTTGAGGAAATTTAGGCATCCAAAGTACATGCTGGGAAGTTGACCAATAATTTATGTACAACTGAAATTCGACACACCATAAGCACAGTAATTGTCACTGTTAAAATTACGAAATTAGGGTGATAGCTGGTGATTGTCACATGACTTGCATGTAAATCTTATGTGTCTGACCGTCTGATATGCGGTCACGCACCACTCCCACTAATCAAATTCCTTTTCCATGTACCACAAGAAGTAACCTTTCATGATGTGGATAGCCACTCTCTCAGCTCCCTTAGCACTCATTTCCTTTGGACCATCATCAACCTTCAACATCTTTGCTTTCCAATCTTTCTTCACGTCTCTCGGTCATTAGTCCTATGTCATCTATAATTTCCTCCAGCTCAGCGGCTTTCGACAACGATTTGAGTTCATGGAACAGAATCTCTGACCTTTTTAATATCGCTCTCCAAACTACATATTGGAACTTTCAGTGTCTGCACTGTCTGTCAAATTCGCCGACAAGCTTTGCTAATCAAAGCACTCTCACATGAATGTAAGCTATGTTTGTGAGATACGCATACAGCGCCCAAATGAGGTTATTCACTTAACTCCACCCGGCCAATATAATACATCTGCAAAATTCATCCTTTAAGTTTCTAGAGATTCGTTGCCTAATTTTTGTGGTTTTATGGGTGTAGGCATAGCATAAAGGCATAAAGTGCGCTATTTGACTAAGTGTTGCAATGAGGACTAAAAGGAACAATGCAACTCGTCCTTGTCTCTTTGTAATCTCTACTTGCGCACCCACTGACTGCAGTTTGGATGAAGTGAGGGATGAGTTCTACCACAGACTGCCTGGTCTCCGACTGAAAGCCAAATGTTCGGATGTTTTCATAGTAGGTGGTTTCAATACTCATGTGGACAGGTTAAGTCAGACGGAAAGGCATATAAGTGGAACCTTTGGAATTCCAGCCGAACAAATATTTAACGTCAGTCGCCTGTTACAACTGTGCTCAGACAACCGTTTATTTCTGGCCAGCACGAACTTCAGACATTAAGAAAGTCATTGTCTGACGTGGCGTTCATCAAACTCAACTCAACGTTGGACACAGACAGACCATATTGCTATCAGTTATCACTAAAGTCGGTGAAAGGTTGTGGCACTTTCCGGATTGTGTGTTTTGACAGTGGGCATGCATATGTCTACTCCTAAATAGACGAATAAAAACTACAGCAACAAGACCATTCGGAGTGTCTGGACGATAAGAATACTAGGGTTGGCTTCATTGTGGAACTGATCAGATAGTTGTCGCAACCAAAAAAGGTCGCTCACTCTGAAGGGGCTTGGTGTCATCTCCAGTTTGCTGTATAACTAGCGATAAAGACATTTACTGACTTTCAAATAGAAGGTAGAAAGAGTCAGTGGCTCGCAGAAGTTCTTTCTGAATTAATAGATGCGCATAGATGTATTCCTGAAGGCTCTGAGCACGATAAGTGGCAGAAGGGACTCAAATATACGGTGACAGGGTCTACGTAATGACCGCGAGCAGCGAGGGGTTACAAATACTAAACTGTGGGAAGAAGCTGCTTCCACAGGTAGATAACAATAGACAATTATTTAAACTGCTTAAGAAACTGGACAAAATGATAAATGGTAGGTTAGACTGTAGTGGTAGTAGTTGTAGACTACCTGGTTGGAGTCCACGAGACGCTAATAATCAGTGGTTGAGGGCTCTGGGTGACATGACTGAAAATCGGCCTTGATGTCTAGACTAACAATTTTTTTTAATCCCTCCCCTCTCTCTCTCCATACACATTTGTCTTCTTTGATGTCAATCTTTCTTTTTCACTTGTTTTTTATATACTACTACAAAGTGTGGTAATTTGAGCCGATGCACCTGTGTATAAAGTTCCATTTTGATTTTGTTTGTCTGTCTATCCCTGTCGAAGTGCTCTACCCTGTGCTCCAGATGTCCGCGGAATTTGTCGATCACACCGACGAGCGCCAGGAAATCGTAAGGGGATTGCAGAGACCCAGTGTTTATTAGGGTGACGTTCTTCACGGTCGCAAGCAGCTTTACTTACTGTTCTGATGGTATCTTGAAGTTTCAACCTATGTTCATGCACACTTTCTGAAGGTTTTGTCACCCACCTTCAGTTATAATTGGTTCGATATTTAGTTACACAGTTGACACTTTTCAAATGACAATTTTAATAACTGGAAGAAACTCCTGCTTAATCCGCATAGCATTCCTAATTGTAAATTAGTTTTGCCATAAATCTGTTTACTGACTTCATCATTACAAATAATATTCTGGAAACTTTTGTGATTATCTAGGGGCTGTTATGAAATTAGTGATCGTTTGCTGCCTAATATTATCAATAATTGTTCTAACAGACTAAATGTTATGGATCAAAGATATATTTTTCTTACATTTTAGCTCAGAATAAAATACATACTTTTGTCATACAGAAATAAAGAAGTCATTATTTTACTGTGTCTCTAGGATATTTGCAGATGTTAGCATTAACAGATGACAGTCAGAGCAAGTCGTTTTGGTTTCTCACCTATCGATTTCTTAGAAAAAGTTTGATCGTTATATTAGCTGTCCTGATTACTTTCACCTTATAGTTGCGTTGTAATATATTTTTACTTACGTATATTGAAATTTGCTCATTTTTTCTTGAAGTTCTAGTGTGAATTGTAGCAACATGAATTATTTCAGATTTTCGCTGAGTTTCGCATTCTTTTCTCTATGTTTCATGAATGAAAGATAAGAGGAAGGGAGAGGGGGGGGGGGTTAAACTGCTTCATTTTCTCATCTTTGTGAAATGTTAGTCCAACTGTTGATGACAGTCAAATACTTTCTGTAAGAAGTGGCCGTGATATTCCTGTATGTTGGTAAGAGCAGTCACTAGGAAACGACATTATCATAAACCTGATTTCGATATTTCTGCATTTCTAGCGTGTTTATTATTGATTCAGTCGTCTCTGTTTTTATTATAACTATATTCACCGCAGTATTCATAAGTCCTTACCTCATTTTTACTCGCTTACTTCTATTTTTAGGTAACAGTTTTTGTTTTTCCCGAATTGTTATTGGTAACAACACGTGTACGACCTGAGGTACCTAATCGGTCAGCAACACATTTGTATTATAACAACTCACCGCGTCAAAATACAAGGTTCCAGAGTGGTTCTGTTCCCACAATCTCTTCCACTTCAACTATCACTCCACTACTTCCCTCAGTATCTGATACACGATCTCAGTTACGTAATCATCGACGGTCTTTATTACCCAGTTTAAAATCTCACTCGTGTGAATTAAGAAGTGTTCAAGTTTCATCAGTAAATTCATCTGATCAACCATCTAAATGTAGAAAATTATTTAGACGCCTATCATCTATTATTTTACCACCATCAATAACCGAATCTCCAAGGCAATCAGAGATTTCTAGGAAGACAACACCAATCATACATGTATTTGATGACGAAAGTGTGTGCTTTGAGCGTTATCGTACCTATGGTTCACCTGTAATACTAAGAGAATATATTTTGGAAGATATAAATGATGACAATCATTCAGGTGTATTAAAATTGCCTTTCTCTTTGGAAAAATCCAGTAAGGTTTTTTTCTTCTTTGATATACTTTTCGTTAGTACACTTTATAACTAATACTAACGGGTGAATTTAAATTCAAGTGAAATATAGAACGATACTGACTTATCATTAAACGATCATCTTTCTACCCACATGTTTCAGTTAAAGCAAACTTATAGGAAATATCAGTTGTGCTTTTATAATTTAGGTATATTCCTAATGTATTAAATATATTTCTGTCTCATGACTGAATTACAATAATTATTGTTACCTTATCAGTTGGCTATTCGACCTGTTCATTGGATTACAATTCATGTAACAGAATTCATTCTATAAAACTATTTAGTGCCGGCAGTTAAACAAGGATTGTTGATGCAAAATTTCATATGCTTTTCTACCGTCATTTACTTTTCAATCTCCTCATAAAAAGATGAGTTGCTCACAGCACTACAATCTCGAGCTTGTTCTGATCGGTCTTAAGGCTAGAAAAGTAGTGATCGTATGATGCTGTTTAGCAGGCTGCCTATAAAATATGTCGAAGTCAATGGTTTGATATGACTTCGCTTAGTGAGAACATCTTCATTACTGAACTGTAAAATGTATGCATAAATCAGAACATGCGTTCTTGTGCAGTACAACCAAACATGAAAATGATTGGCATTTTACTGAAAAGGGAGGATACAATTTATGATTTAGACATCACAAATTGTCAGAGAAACGTTTTTTAGTAAGTGATGGGGATGAAGATTTAATAGATGTTTTCCAAGTTGTCTAGAATAAAGGTCATAGCAAGAAACTTGTGATTATTACGTAAGAAAATAACTGAAATATGTTGGTTGGTCACTGGGGGGAAACCAATTTCATGTTATCTAGTCCTAAATAGCGACCCAAATCTATCGTTCGTTTTGCAGTGTGGTCACCAAGCTAGGAGACACAATCACAATGCACTTCGATAGATGTTAGTTGGTTGAAGACAATCACTTACTCTCCAGTGACCCGTCAAGATATGTAACACAGTTCTGCTTGAGGTCAATCGAGGCCTGAGTAGTTCGGTGGTAACGTCTCTGATTGCCCCATTGGGTGATGCGGGTTTGAATTTCAGAGGGGATGTAAACTCTCTTGAGTTTACACATACACCTACTGATGAGTGCCGACAAGAACCAAATCTATGCCCATGGTTTCTTGTCAGTAGTCTCCAAATAACTAAAATACAGATAGAATATGTCAAGAGATAAAAAAAATGCAGATTGAGTTAGAATCACTTGTTTAAAATAGGTGAAGTAATCGAGTTTTGTTGTTGGGTCAAAAGCTGTTAATAAAACACAGATTAACCACAGCGTCTGTTTGGATGGTGACGTAGAAGATTGGCTAAACTACGCTTCATGTCTTCGAAGGTTGTTAATTGATATGTCACTTACATTTCAGATCCTTTTACTTGTACCAGGTTTGCTACCGTTGGTGGGTTGGATGTGGTGTGTCTGCTTCCAGAAATCGCTAGTGCAGTTACTCCGATTCTGCTCACGTGTTATGATCCATCTTCAAACTCCTTGCATAACTTTTGCGCAATTTTCTACCCTAATCTGCAAAAACTAAACCCGTTTATTCCACCTGCGATTTACTTGCTCCTAACTGTCATATAGGGAACCTGCCTTTGACTATAACCCACTAATCTATGCATTCAATTCAATACTTCCATATTTTTGTTAGCACTTAACTCTTTTCTAGTTACCACCTACCTACTTCGTTGTCTTCTAAATTTTTTCTATATTTCTCCATTAACATTTCTGCATTGTTTTTAATTTCTCACAACTATCCACTCTGTGAAAAGGACCCAAATTTTCCGAATAGCTTCCTTCACCTCATGAGATCACCTTCCAAATTGTATCGAATCTTTAAGTGTTCGCGCCTTTGTCGTTCTGGATAGATGAGATAAGTCAGTTGATGGGTTTATAAGTTTTCACTTAGTGAGGTGGTTAGCTCATTTGTTGTGCATAACAAACCGCTGTCTTTCTTAATTTGTTAGTTTAACTGAAATAGGGTGGAAAATATGAAGGGTGGTCATTGCATCAGTCGATAAAGTCTCTAACTACTGGTATGAGTTGGTTAAACAAATGCCTTTTCCTTAATGTACGGATATGAGTTTTGGCAACATGTACTGATACTCAGTAGTGTCAGGTCGCACACTGATCATAAATCCCTACTTATCGGTTGTCGCCACAATAACAGAAGCAGATGTTTAGGGATTAGGTGATATGGTTCGGAACTCGTGACAGTAGCTTTATTATTGCTGTTTCCATCACATTTCGTTATTTTCATCTTACGGCTGTCTACGAATTTTGACTATGATATTCTTTCTTTATCGTTCTTTCTGTTGCTTTGTGTGTTGATGTTTTGACGTGAAGTGTTGCAACACGGACCATAATGCAGTGATTAGAGGTCCCATGTTGATATTAGCTAACTAACTAGAGTAATCCAACGTAGTCCAGTTGCTAGTCAACAAGAAGAGAGACTAAACTTAAGCCTCATAATGTACTTGAGTCCTGTGGCAATCAGTGTATACTTAGATACATCTAATAATTCAGTTTAACTGTACATGGCGTTCATAGATAAAATCAGTGAATAAGGTTCTCGGAGAAAACAGCTTGCAATAGACCGATATTCTCATGATTCGGACAGATATAAGAAGTTTCATTTTGTTTTAATTCGATAACTCAGTAGTCTAGCAAACAGAAGTGTCAATCTCTTTTTTTAGTTATTCAATTATTTTCTTAATTGTACTTATTTGTGTGGTTTGTAATATGCAGTTTATTTTTTTGCATTCTAGATCGAAATTTATTCAGATTATATTCTTATAATGATTATTTTCAAAGATCAGAGCAATATATGATAAAAGGTTTAGACTCACTGCATCCAGATGAACGAAATTTATCTAATTCGCGCCGTAAATTGAAATGGGCCTTGTCATCATCTTTACGCAGTAAAAAAGGTATATTATTTTCACATAAACATCCTAAAATGAAATCGAAAGAGTTTATATTTCAAGCATCTAGTGCTGATGATAAAATGTTCTGGATTACTACCCTTTCACCACTTGTACACAGTATAATCAAGAGAAATCGTATGACAAATTATCAATTGTAAATTGTTATTTTAAACGAAAGAAGAAGCAATCATACTGACTGGTTTTTATGTATTTTTCAATTTATTTGTTAAATTTTGAGGGTTGTGGAGATTTGAAGTTATTTCAAGTTGTTATTCATCGAAGACTGACATCAGTTGGAGGAACAAAGGAAACCTAGGAGCACTGGACAGCTGTTTCGTCCTAGTATGGGACTCCTCAGCAGTGCGCACCCACGACCTGAACCTGAAGGTCGCGGGTTCGATCCCTGCTGGTGGGGTCGTGGGTGCGCACTGCTGAGGAGTCCCATACTAGGACGAAACAGCTGTCCAGTGCTCCCAGGTTTTCTTTGTTCCTCCAACTGATGTCAGTCTACGATGAATAACAACTTGAAATTTATTTGTTGTAATTATAATTTGAACAAATAGTTTAATAGATTTTTCTCTTGATTTTCTGTCACTATGTTAACGTTATTTACCTTGAACGTAAAATATAATCAACAATGCAGCATATCAAATAAGTAGAGGAGGGTAACAATTTTTGAAAAAAAGATTTTATTTTTTGTTATTTAAAAAATTCTTTATCAGAAGAAATAAGTGCCATATATTCGACCTATCTCTTTTTTTATCTGATCACTTTTCTTCTCATAGAAATCACTGATTCTCATTCACTATTACAATAACTATTTACAATTATTCTTATGGTAATTAACAATGTTTATTATCTTTTATAACTAGTCTATTGTGTAAGTATTCTTCACTGTAAGTTATATCAGTTGATTTATACTAGTATTTTTGATGATCTAATCTACATGTAACATTGTTAGCTAAAGTATTACTAGCCTTTTTCACTGTTATTCATTCATACATTTGTTTGTTTGTGGACGAATCCCCGATAAAGTAGAATGTGATAGAATTACATAATCTTTCATTTATAAAGTCATTCATCGTTCAGTTATTTTTATTTTGTCAGCACAAGAAAAACATATCTACAGATGGTAAATCTTATTAACTATAAAATAAATTAGAAGTGTATACTGATGTGGCATCTGTCAAACTATCACTGGAGAATGTAGTAGTGATAACAAATGATAAAGTTATTTTTCCTGGTTTATTATATCGAAAAATTTATAAATTTAACATATCTGTTCATATTTTTTTAAGCATTCTTATTTCTTTAATTTGATAATAAGATTATAACTTCTTCACTTCACTTTTCACTTATGTGTTTATACAGTTTTCTTTTTTTTTTTTTATCTCTTCTCTACTTTTTTGATTATTTCCTGTGTACTGCAGTCATTGTGTGTACACCCCAAGATTGAATTCATATCACTGGTATATATTTTGTATACAGTTTGAAAGTTAAGACATGAAATGTTTTATTTTTTTAGTTCAGTATTCTCTTCCTTTATTTTTGTCCGTCAGTATTTTTCTTGAGCAAACTTATTGCCTATTTACTAATATTTTTTTTCTCCTACCTTCTTTTACTCATATCTACTTACTGTTTATGTGTATGTACTCACTTTTCTAGTGTTTAGCATTTAATATTGACATATCACAATAAATAAATACATTCTATTCAGTGTTTACAATACTTGTTCTACTTTCTTATCTAACTAATTAATGAAAATCATTCCTAAACTTGTTGATGAATGATTGTGTGATTGTTTGTTGTTATTTAGTTTACATTTTGAAATATGTTATACTGTTTTGACTAATAAGTGTAATAAACATCTTTTCACAATCTTTCTTATTTTAGCTTTATTACTTAAAAAGAAATCAGGCTACTCAAAATTTTAATCTTTGAGATGAACTCTGTCAAGTGTTTGTGTTTGATACATAGATGTGACATTTCATCGTAGTTAAAATATCGCTGACTAGTGAGTTCTAAAGCAGTATGACAATGCTGAATATTCAAAAAATTATATAAATGGTTGATGTATAGCCTTCTTATTCACATTAGATCATCAAATAATATTGGTTCACAGTGAGAAACACCACTTCATATTTCTGAAGAATCATCAGAGTTGAAGCATGACATTAATGTGCATTTCTTTCAATAGCTTATCAGTCATTTTCAGTTCAGGAGACTGACTTTCCGGTGTTTTTATGGGAACGTAAATTTCCAAAGTAAAGATAGGAATTACCTTCCTTATTAGCCATTAATTGATTGATATAGTATAGCGGTAAATTAAGCATTACGGCCATTCATATTTTGGATTCTTTCTTGAAATATTAAGTGGCACTTGCCTCTTCTATTGGTACTAGATTCCATGTGATTTCCCAACTGCCGGTACTAAATCTCTATTCCTGTGCACCATTTTAAAACAATTTGTTTGAAGAACTTTCAGTCTCGTTTTCCTTTATTTAACATCCAATTAGTACTTCAGAGATTCAATACAAGTGCATAAGTTCTTGTCATTTGTTTGTAACCTACCATAATTAAACATGAAATTATGATATTGAACAAGTTTTCGGTCAAGGCATATTCCAACAAAATGTATCAGTATGCTAAAGAAAGTCAGAAGAGGGTGAAATGAAATGTGACAAAACTGAAAACACTAGCTTTGAGAAATCTAAGAAGCATTAACAGCGTAGCATTCGTCATGACAGTAGTTATGAATAAATCAGAATTACTTCATGAAAGTCAATGAACTCGTCCAAATATGAGGAGATTAAAAGCCAGTAGACACCGTTGGGATTAAGATATGTACGGCTGATGTAATGTGCTAGGTCAAAATGGTTTATTTTAATGCTTAAATTTAATAATCCTGGTAGGATGTTTGTTACTCATAAACTAGGTTACCTCATTAAACTGGTAAGGTGACACCCCAACACATGAACTATCTAAACATTATTGTCTATATTATACCCTGTTTCGAACAGCTCAAACTCTGGATTAACCATTTCATTTGTAATAAAGAAAAGGTTAGATCGTATTGAGATAAAAGGGAATGAGAAAATGGTTAGTTTTGATGTAACTAGCGTATATACTAATGTGTCAATCAGCATGGCTCTAGAAGCTTTCAGAAATGAATTTGACTGATTTTGAGCTTATACACAGAACTAGGGTACCGGTTGAAGAAACTATTTTAGGAGTTCAATAGTATCCCACCACTACTGTATTCACATTTCAAGATAAAATGTACGAACGGAGGGAGTAGCAATGAAATATCACAAGTATGCGGAGTCGTAGCAGGTATCTTTTGGAGACAGTTTGGAGTGTATAGCTCTGAAATCGTTTTGTCCTACCCTCAGAGTATAATTGAACTATGGCTCACTGATTTATGTATTTGATTTCCAACTAGTGGATCATAGGTTTTGAATCCTGCCCAGCCCACTAAGGTCTTCACAACCAGTTGGTACCATTAGCTCTCATTCAATAGATGTTGTTCACTGCCTCTTGCATAAACTCGCGCCTAACTGCTGAGTAGTTTAGGAGCACTCTGAAAGTATAGTGGAGATGTTTGGATGACGTATTTAATTTGTTTACATTTGAGGGTTTCTCACGCTAAGGGTACTTATCAATATGATTGCGTATTCAGGATGGTGATTATTTAAACTTATTTCCCTAGAATGCTCTGGTTGGATTATAGCTTTATTTATGAATAGGTAGTTGTTGTGAAGAGAGTTAGTAGATCCGACTAAATTGCAAATGTTCAATTTTATATCATTTAAGCTTACGGTTCTAATTATGAACGCGAAACAGTTGTTATAATTTTTTTGAATATATTCTTCTACATTGCCTTCTAATGAGTTCCTGAAAACTATTCCATTGTTGGTGTATCCTGCCTACAACCGTTAGAATACTGACTGTAACACGTATATTCTATACGTCAAAAGAATATATCACCCTTCCCAGTAAATTTTTTTCCCATGAAGTTATTATTAATCCGTCACATGTGCAGAAATGGCTCTGTAGTTCAGGCATTCAACTAATAAGTTTAAGTTCACTTCACCCAGTTTTAACTTCGTAGCTAGGTGATGTCGTTGGCCTTCGTGCATTGGATATGACTCATAAAGTTTTGCCAGGTTATTAGTTTGATCTACACTATACAACATACAAGAATATTAGTCATTTAGAAGCTTTTACTCTTTTGGTAGCCACTAGACAAGTTCTTTCATGGTTTAAAATTGCCCTAGAAATATAGATTAGACGTCTGATATCTCCAAGGCTTACCTTTCTTACTTTCTTTTAAGCCTATTCTATCATTTTGGATACATTTTTGCGAAACCACTTCTACATATTAGCCGATTATAGTTGTAAACTTTTGACAGTAGACTTGGATTTCTGGCTTCATGAATGGATGAAATAAATATCAACAATCTTAATAATAATATTATTATTATTAGTCCCTTGAGTTCCTAATGGAACACATTGTTTCAGTAGCACGTCTCCAGTGCACTCTCTTCTCTGGAATCTTTTGAACCTGGCTCCACGACAGCCCACAACCTCTCATTTCCTTCTAGCACGATCTCCTTCATGTTACCCTCGCCTAACTCGTCGCTTCCCATCTGGGTTCCACTCGAGGGACTGACCTGACGCTTGATGTCCCCAGTCAGCCTTCTCGGTGTATGCCCAATCCATCTCCACTTCCCTCAACTGCATATTTGTTCAGCGATAGCTTCTTGGTTGGTTCGTTGCCAGCCAGAGTTCCTTATTGCTTATTCTTTCCGGCCATCCGATCTTCACTAACACGCCAGCGTAGGCGGCAGTTGTTGATGAATGTCTGTAGTTTGTTGGAAATGTCTTTCGTAAGGCGCCAAGTCTCTGAGCCATACAGAAGCACTGATTTGATGTTGGTGTTGAAAGTCCGGATCTTGTTGTCTATGCTGAGTGCAGAAGATCTCCATACTGGTTTCAGGTTAATGAACGCCTGTCTTGCTTTTCCGATTCTGACTTTGACATCCTCGTCTGTGCCACCGCTGCCCGTAGTTGAAACAGTGCTTCCTAGATAGGTGATGGAGGCTACTTCCTTTAAGTTTCTCCCGTTGATGGTGATTGGAGTTTGTTGTTGGTGTTGTTGGTTGGGTATCTTCATCACCTCTGTCTTCTCTATATTCACTTGAAGTGCCGTCTTCGCTGCCCCACCTCTTCTACCAACTTGTTAGTTTTCGCCTGTAGACCTTCAAGTTTGTGTGACATTAGACATACGTCATCGGTGAAATCCAAGTCTTCTAGGTTCTTTTCCGTGGTCCAGCTGGCGTATTCCTCTTTTCTCGCTCCTCACTGTTTGTTGCATGATCCAGTTCAGTCCACTACAATCAGGAATATCATGGGTGATAGTAGACAGCCTTGTTTTACTCGTTCCTCTCTTCACTTCAAAAGCACCACTGAGCTTGCCATTGTGAATTACTTGGCATGTGACGTCTTCATGTAGTTGTTGAATGAGGTTGATAAAGGTTTGTGGCAGTAAAACCGTAGTGTTGAACAAACACAAATAATTCTCCATTCTCGTTCATCACCTCACCGAGCGCTTCCCGACCCATGGTTAGTTCTCTTCCTGTGTTGTCCGCTCCCAGTTTGGCATTCATGTCGCCCATTAGAGTGGATTTTGATGTTGCCAACTGAGGTCTTGTCCAGTGTTGATTGAAGTTATCTGTAGAATTCCTCCTTCTTTCCTTGATCTGCATTATTTGTAGGTGCATAGTGTAGCATTGTACGATTGTGACTTTCTGTCCTTTTGAGTTGAACCTTGCTGTTATGATCCTGCAGGAGGAGATTGGTTCCCACTGCATGAGGGCCTTCGATGCTGTTGGGGACATCATGATAGCCACTTGAAAACTCAGTGTGTTTGTGGTTGTTGTCTGGGTGACAATATCGGAGTAGATTATTGATTCTCCAGTTGACAGTTTGAAAGATTCCACTTCCATTCCATCTGCTTTCGCAAATTCCTAACACTTTAATGCGATACCTTCTCATCTCGTTTGCAATGTGGGCAGCCTTGCTAGGTTCAAACATGGTGCGAGCATTCCATTTCCCCACGTTTACTTTCGCTTTCATCGAGGGAGAGAAGACACATCGGCCAATTGGCTTCCCGATGGAATCATGATAGGGGAATCGGCCTTATGCAAAATGTGTCTAAGATTTTGGGTTTTTAATTATTATATGTCTGTGTGAAGCTCGGAAAGAGTAGACCCGAAAAAACCGGGGAGGTTTCAGACCTAGTCACGGGTGTATGGACCAGATATCTGCTCTCTGTTAAGTATTGGGACACACACTGGTACCTGACAATTTCTATTTTTTGGAATGAAGGCAGCATTCGATTCCGTCTATCGAGAGGTCTTATGGCAGTGTCGCTCATTGAAACAGATGCAGGATATGGACTTTACTCTGCTGAAGACCCTTTACTCGGACACTCGTTGACGTGTTGAAGCTTATGTTGAAGTATCATTTTAGTTGTGTATCTGAAGAGTGTCCATCAAGTGTGCTCATTCTCATTTGATTTTGTCATAGAGTGATTTTGCAGGCCTGTTTCTCCTCGTCTGACTCAGAAGAGGTTGACTTTGTCACAGCAAGCTCCTTAGTTGACCTAGAGTATACACACGATATAGTCGTGTTATGTGAAGATGGGGAGTTTTTTGAACACGTGTTCACTTGAGAATATTGGGAATGCGTTTCTCACCACCGACGTGCTGTAGGATTGGTGTATATTGGTTGGAAATTCTACATCAGGAAGTGAAGTGTCTGAGCATGTTGACCACTCTACGTGTTTTAGAAGTCGAACCAGGCGTGATAAGCTGGTGGCTGACGAATTCGCTACATGGATACAAAAGGATCGCTTGGTGTCTGGCCATTTGTGACACCACTGGGATGTCTGATTTCTTTCGAAGGGTGTAGTGTTGGTGTGTGGTACATTTTGTATTTTACTGATATATT